AACTCGAACCTTGCCATGAGGGTCATCTCGCAGGGTGTCGTGGTTACTGCTGCCCCACTGCCTGGCCCCTCATGCTTGACGCTCTTTCGATCAGTTTATAAACAGGAGTTTGCTTACAGAGGATGGACGCCCAGAGCAATGATTAGAATTTTTGCTTCTCGGGTATCTTTTCTTAGGAAATGCCCAGAGAATTTGAAAATAATTGAAACACAGACAGCTTAACAATTTCCTTCATGCTTGACTTAAAGCATTTTTTTTTTGATGAATTTCTAACATAAGGAAGAGAGAGACACCCCCATAAAGAGCAAAAAAGAGAGAAAGCCAGCGTCAGAGAGAGAGAGACAGCTCCCCACACAGGGTCTTGACACCACGTTCTACTCCCGCCAGCCTGAATCACAGACGTGTGTCCGGCGTGCTCAGGGAGGTCTTCAGACCCAAACTCGAACCTTGCCATGAGGGTCATCTCGCAGGGTGTCGTGGTTACTGCTGCCCCACTGCCTGGCCCCTCATGCTTGACGCTCTTTCAAAGCCCACTAGGTGCCATACATGAGTGGAGACGGTGCTTTCTGGGTGGCTCTCCCCTCACCCCTCAGCAGGCATGTATTGAATTATTCCCTGTGTGTTTGGGGAGTTCAGCGTAGTTCAAGTTGCTTGTCTTCAAAGAAAACAGCTTCCATGTTGACACTCTGAACTTCAGAATATCTTTTTTTATTTCATTTTTTACTAATAAAAGCATAAATGCATGTAGGATATGTTGGCTTCCTGTGTACAAGAACTGACTTTAAAGGAAACAAACTAACCCAACCCATGTGTTAGAAAAGCCAGGGAGGTGTGGGGTGGGAGGTCGGGTCGCAGTCGGCTCTTTGCTGCTCTGGAAATGGTATGGACCGTGTATCGTTCCACAGTTACAGGTCGTCTCCGTTGTCACAGGATCGTGCCTGGACGGCCTTTGTGTTCATTTCCCATTTCTCTCAATCCAGCATGGCTCTTTGGAGCCTTAGTCTCTGGGGCCATAATCCACCAGAGAGGCTTCTGGTTGGGTCTGGAGTCAGGCTGTTTACTTTAAACACACATTTGCAGCAACCATGGTTAATGCCCTGGCCTAGGGCTTGGGAACAGAGGCCTTACCCAGTGGTCCCACGAGATTTCTAAAGGCGGGTTAACCTAGGTATTTGAACAGAGTCCACAGCCCCCAGGGTGACCCATGGTGCTGAGGGTGACCCATGGTGCTGAGGGTGGCCACAGCCCAGCAATGCTCTACCCATTTGGAAAGTAACTGGATGGTGCTTTCTGGGCCCATGGGTATGCAGAGCCCTCTCAAACACAGCTGCTAGTCACCTCCACAGTACACAGAGGCCTGGCCCCCGGGGCCTTGCAGTTAGCAGTGTTTACAAGAAACAGGGTCAGCTGAGTAGCTGCCTAGAAAAAGGAGGGACCCAGAGCTTGAGAGGGAAGTGCGGTGTGCAAAGGAGCTTCAAATGCTGCAGACGGGTCACTCCCGGAGACGCCATCATCCTCATCCATGTTAGACTTCAGCTCTCTAGAGATTGTCAGGAGAGCTTTTGCCACCTGAGGTCAGGCGGGATTTCTCGTCTGGAGGCGAGACTCAAGTAACGTGATTGTCTTCAGCCTCTAGTAGGAGAGAAATGCCCTTTGAACCCGAGAGGCCTAATCTGTCCTCATAGCCCTACCTACTGGGCTCACCTGGGGTGTCCAGCCAGGCTGGGGGAATGAATGGAGAGGAGTTATGGGCAACCCTGAAACTATCTGTGGATAAGCAAATTCACTGGGCTGGCTTCATAGTCTAGTAATTAAGGGAGTTAGAGCCTACGTGACTGACTGCGATTTGAGTTCCAGCCTGATGGTTTGAAAAACATGCTGGGCATGTGTGCATCCATCCCCATTCTGACAGGAGAGGAAAATGGGGAGAAGGGTTTGTAGCCCGACCATGCCCCATTGGAGAGGACTTTCCCTCTGTTTCTTTCTCTTCCTTGGGTGAGCACATGCACCCTCTGGCAAGAAAATAAATGAATAAAATGCATTTGACTTTGATGCCACCAATAGAGACGTGCATGTGAACACCTGTTTGGTAAGCAACATTTCTAGGTGCCAGGCCCTGGGCTGCAGTGAGGAATGGAAGGGCCAAATCCCTGCCTGCCTGTGGCTTCTAATCTAGAGGTGAAGACAAGCAGCCAGCACTGAGCAGAATGTGTCCTATGTCGGGGCACTCAGAGCCACAGAGAACAGCACGGGCAGAGAGCAGGGTGGGACTTGGACGTGGTCGTCCGGGAAGCCACTCTGATGTCTTTGTCCCAAGACCTGAGCGAACTAAGGGGGAGGGCGTCTCGGGAGTGCAGAGACCCTGTGGTCGGTGTGTGGCCTGTGTGTGGCAGGTGCAGGGGTTGTGCTCGCAGGGTGGCCAGAGCAGAGCAGTGGAGGGCGAGGAAGGGTGGGGCCAGAGCAGGTGGGAGCAGACCACCCGCAGCTTTGTCTGGATATCGGTCTTTACTCAGGGGTGACGGAGAGCCACCAGAGGATTTGGGCACAGAAGCGCTAGGACGTAACTTCTGTTGTGAGTAGTGGCCCCAGCTGCCAGCTTGAGGGACAAGGGAAGCAGCAGGGAGACCAGTGAGAGGGGCTTTTTAAAAATTTCAGCAAAAGGGGACCAGCAGATGGCATAGCTGTTACGTTGCTGGACTCCCACATGGCCGACCATGGTTCGAGTTCCAGACCCAGTAGCCTGAAATTCACACCGGGTGCATGTGCCTGTGTAACCCAGGAAAATGGAGGAAAAGGGATTGCAATGTGGCCGCCCCCTGGGGGGCGATTTCTCACCTTCTCTCTCTCTGTCTCTGTTTCTCTCTCTCCAGTGAGCACACATATCCTAAGGCAAAAACCTCTACAAAAAAATTAAAAACAATAAAAAATTAAAAACTTTTAGCAAGAGACAATGGTGACTTGGGCCAAAATGGAGGAGTCAGTACATGGAGCAGGTGGCAGGGTTGGATTCTGGGGTGATGGTGGTGCTGACATGAGGTGTCCCAGAGCGGGGTGGGTGTGAGAGCACCAGGGGAGGCTAGGAAGACCCCCGGGTTTGGCGCCTGGGTAGCCGGGAGAATGGAGCTGCTGAGCGCAGGTCAGACTGTGGGAGCAGCAGGCTTGGGTTCGCCAGCTGTGCACTGGGACCCAGTGGCTGCCGAGGACATGACTGACGCCTGAGTCTGGAGTTCAGGGGAGAGGCATGTGTCCCATGCACACTAAAGCCAGGAATGGGATGCGGGGTGACTGCTAGCCACAGAAAAATGCCACGTGAGCTCACTCTGGGTGATGTACGAGGCAGGTGCTGCCTATAAAGCCTCTTCAGAAATTCCCACTGTGGGACCAGCACATGGCATAGAGGTTAAAGTGTCTGGATCCCACATGGCTGACTGCCTGGTTCGAGTCCTGGACCTGGCAACTTGAGACTCATACTAGGTGTAAGTGCGTGTGTGCCCAAAATCCCAAGAGGAGGATAGAGGAGAGAGGGTTGTGGCATGGTTATCTCCCTGGGAGGTGGTTTCTCCCTCTCTCTGGCAAGTGCATATGCCCTAAAGCAAACTTACAGAAAGAAAAAGAAATTCCCACTACATAAGGTGGTAACATGGCAGAAAGGCCCTCCTGTCCTCTGTCTCCTTCCCTGCTTTATGTCTGATGTCCCTAGCGATGTCACTGGCTATGGTATCAGTCCCCTTCTTACACCTGCAGATGTGGAACTGCAGCCGTGTATTGGCGTAAACACGGCCATTGTGTGGGAGGCATCCTCAGCGTGGAGGGTGTGCCCTGCCCTCTCTGTGGGCTGGCGACAGCTGGGGCCTCTGCAGGAAGCCACCTTCTGGATGGGTCAGCGAGAGTCTGGGGTTTGGTTCTGGAACTTAGCCATGGCTCCTTCAACATGGTCGTGAGAGGTATTAAAAAGCAAATTCTTCTCAGGGCTATTTGGGGGAAAAACAATGTTCCCAAATAAGGGCTGTGGCCATGGGTTGACATCTGTGGTCACAAGGACCAAGGCTGCTGTGGAGACGCCTCACCTGGTTTTGACCACGAATCCCCAGGCCCAACCCAGGGTCTGACCACAGGAGGTGCTCAGCCAGTGGCTGAATGAATGAATGAGTGACCGAGTGCGCAGAGCTCCCTAGCCTGTGGGAGCTGGGGCTGGAGAAGTGCTGGCAGGGTAACCCAGAGCCTAGTGGGCAGAGCACTGAGATTCCCTGGGGACCAGCAGGCGGCATAAGTGGTCAAGGCCCTGGCCTCCCACGTGGTAAACTGTGGTTGAACCTCAGACTCAGGGGCTTGAAAATTGCACCAGGCACCTGTGCATGCACACTCAGGACCCCAAGAAGAAAATGGAGGAGAAGGGATTAAGGTATGGCCATCCCCCTGGGGAGTGATTTCCTGCTTTCCCTGACTTTCTGTCTCTCTTCAGCAAATGCACATGCTCTATAGGAAAAAAAAAATGAGTACTGAATCTGAGTGACAGGTGCCGCTCCTTCTGCTGGTCGGAGCCCTGGGGTCAGCGTGCGGGCGCTCCCGTAAGCCTTTACCAGTTTCTGGCAGTCGAGGCCATGCAGTCTCCTCAGGACAGACACTCACTTGGCCTGTCCCTTTCTCCCTAGGACAGGTGCGCTGCTCAGCAAGTGTTAGCGGGTGCTGGGGCCCTCCACTGTGTGCCGTGGCGAGTGTGTGACCCTGTGCTCCCAGGGAGGTGGCTCAGGGTTCATGCCAGAGAAGCGAGCTGTTGCCTGGAGGGCTGAGTGGTCACACAGCAGCGGCCCATGAGCTGGAGCCAGGTGGGGCGTGCTCCCCGTGGCTGTGAGCCAGGCACGTGCCACCTTCTGCCCCCTTCACCACCGCCTGTCCCACCAGCCATGTCTCGGGAGGCCCTGGTGGCCCAGCTACGAGTCGTGGCCTCTCCACACTGGTGTCCTCCCTGGGTCCTAAGGTCTGCACTTTGCCGTTTACAGAAGCATGTTGTGGAGACATTTTTTGGATTTGACGAGGAGTCCGTGGATTCGGAGACGTTGTCAGAAACATCGTACAACACGGACAGGACAGACAGGACCCCGGCCACGCCCGAGGAAGACCTGGATGATGTAAGCGAGCCAGTAGGCCATGAAGCGGCACCTCACACCAGGCCGGCGCGTCCCCCCAGTGTATTGTCACACAGATGGCTTCAGGGGAAGGTGGTCCCACTGTGGTGGGCTCCGTGAATGGCAGCAGGGTGGGGGCAGCACGTGGGACCCCCCCTTTCCCCGGCTCCGACTTCCCCAGGGAACCCGGGGGGTGCCAAGGCCGAGGCGGGTGCTGACACACGCTGCCTCGGTGGGTGTGCTGTCTGCAGTCCACGTTGCCGTGGTGGTCCACATCCCCACGCCCCCACGCCCCCAACCTGGAGGAGAGATCGTCGTTGCTCTTTTGGCTGTAGGAGTGAGGTTCTCTGTCGGAGAAAACGCGAGCCACCCTGAGATGTGTACAGGAGAAGGTGGACGGCACTTGGCGTCCAGGCCCCAGGTCGCCCCCTCTCCTCCCGGGCCAGCTCTGCCGTCCAGGCACACGGCCGCGGTGTTGAAGGAGCTGGGCTCCCAGAGTGTAAAGGGCGGCTGTGTGCTCTCTTTCCACCCCTCCCCTGGGCGGAATTCCCTCAGGAAAGCCCAGTAGGGTCTCCGGCAGACTCTGTGGGCTTCTGGACCTTCCAATGGCAAGAAAGGCCACGTCTGATAACTAAGCTCCAGGCTTCCTCCCTGGGGACCTGCAGCGGGCTCAGCTGCTGTCTCCTCATCTTGCTCCTCTGCCTCTCCTTGTGTTCCCTGGCAGCTTTTTCTTGAGCCCAGGAAGGACCCAGAGTGGGAAGGCGTGGGCCAGAATACCAGGACAAGGGGCTGCAGGCGATGTCCTCGCTGGGGGTGGTGGACGGTGCTGCTTCTCGTGGGAGCTTCTCTGGGCTTTCACGAGCCCTTGCGAGGACCCCTCCCTGCAGCTGCCTGGCTAGGGCATGGGCCTTGCCTCTCCGGCACCCCCAGTCCCGGGATTCTGGCTGTCTACGTCCTGACCGGGTCCCTTTTCTCCCCCAGCGGCCTTTCTGTGGACCCCTTCTAGACTGACATCTAGGCTGGCCTCTCCCTTGAGTCTGTTTGGCCACGGGAAAACTCGGCACATGCTGGGCACTGACCCATCTGACCCCATGGTGGTTCTCCTTGTTGCACTGCCACCTGTGCCAAAGCTCCAGGGACATCTGTCACCTCTCCGCTGCCCCCTTGACATCCCGCTGACACTGGAAGGAGATAGACCGCCCTCCCTGTTGGCTGGAGGGCCTTGCCTATGCTCGAGACGCACGCAGCCCTTCCACGTGTCCCACGTGGGGGTCTGGGCTTGGCCTCCAGGCCTCGTTCTGAGCCTTCACTGAGGCAGAGACCCAGCTTCCAGGTCGGGAAGCTTCTTGTTTTTATGTCTCGTTACACGTAACTTCAACAGGATCAGCCAGTGACGTGCTTTCAGATTTGCTCGGCTTCAGCCAACAGTGTGTAAACAGGCATTTTTCAGCACCCAAGCATGAGACTCTCAACCCCTCTGAGAACCACACAGGGCTTTTCAAGTGTGGTGATGGGCATTTTGTTTCCAGTCCTGGCCACAGTGCACGATGCCAGAGTACGCTCGAGTTTGCATTGTCACGTGCTCTTGCGCATCCTTAGGAGAGGAGCCGTGCTGGCCAGAGGGGGGCACCTTCAGCGTCAGTGCCCACTGTGGGGCTGAGGTTGGCCCAGTGGTCCCTCACCCTTCCTCCCTACGCCCTGCTCCATCACTCAGGTGAGGCCCTGGGGTCAAGGAGCTCCCAGGAGTAGGGCTGACTGCAGGGAGGGAAGGTGGCTCCTCTGGCATCAGAGGTACCTGCTGGCACGACAGCTCGTAAGCACTCTCTGGAGTGAGATGTGGACGTCTGGCTTGGCCCAGGCGACTCGGGGACCAAGGCCACTTCAGGTCAGATGCTGACTGTTCCTCCTTCTCCGTTACGTTAAGACCACGACCAGAGAGGAGGCTGACCTGAGGTTCTGCCAGCTGACCAGGGAGTACCAGGCCCTGCAGCGAGCCTATGCCCTGCTTCAGGAGCAGGTTGGGGGGACGCTGGATGCCGAAAGGGAGGCCCGGGTAAGTGCGGTTGGCCCTGGGAACTAGCGAGGGGCTGGGCAGAGAGTTGGGCTGTGTGTGTCCTTTCCAGCAGGGTGATTCTGTCCCATTCCTCTGCCACAGACACTTGGAGGGGGTCTGGGAAGTGATGGGAACTCATAGCTAAGCCCCCATTATGGCAGTGTTCTAGAACTCTCTCCATTCTTGGTGTGGCAGCAGGAGCTCTGCAGTGGAAGGTCATCAGAATGATATGTGTCATCACCTGTCATCTGTGTCACCTGTGTGCGAGAAAGGACACTTCCAGAATTCAAGACCCGCTGATAGGATCACAAACCTGGCAGACCTTGTAGACATTGGGCTTGGCTCCCGGCAGGTCTGGGAAGCCCTCAGAGCATCCCCATCCTGAGCCCCGTCCTGAGGTTTGCCTGCAAGCAGCCTCGGCCTTGTTTGGACTGTGGTGTGATCCTCTCTCTGTTCTGTCCCCCATTTGAGGTGACTTGCTCACTTCCTGGTGTTTTTTTTTTTTTTTTGCTTGTTTGTTTTTTCCTAGAACTATAGGGTGCATGCACTTGCTGAGAGACAGAGAGATAGAAAGCAAGAAATCCCCCCCAGGGACAGCCATGCCACAATGCCTTCTCCTCCATTCTCTTCTTGGGATCTTGGGCACACACGCACATGCACCTGGCATGAGTCTAAGCCACTGGGTCCGGATCACAAACCTGGCAGACCTTGTAGACATTGGGCTTGGCTCCCGGCAGGTCTGGGAAGCCCTCAGAGCATCCCCATCCTGAGCCCCGTCCTGAGGTTTGCCTGCAAGCAGCCTCGGCCTTGTTTGGACTGTGGTGTGATCCTCTCTCTGTTCTGTCCCCCATTTGAGGTGACTTGCTCACTTCCTGTTTTTTTTTTTTTTTTGCTTGTTTGTTTTTTCCTAGACTCGGGAGCAGCTACAAGCTGACCTACTGAGGTGTCAGGCCAAGATCGAAGACCTGGAGAAGTTACTGGTTGAGAAGGGACAGGTGAGCGGGAATGATCCTATGCTCTGTGAGTCTTTGCGCTTCTGTCCCCACGGTGGTGTCCCTGGGGCTCACCTCCATGCCGAGGAGGACATTCTGTGGCGCTGAATGAGGAACTCTAGCAGAGTCAGACGAGAACCTGCTATCCAATATGCCTATTTGCTGAGTTAAAAATATCAAAACATGCTATCAGATTCTAACTTGGCCTCTTCTTGTGTGTTTGCCAAGCACAGAAAAATAGGGGATGATTTCAAAAGCAAAGTGAGGACCAAAACCTTCTCCCACTTGGACCTGGAGAAGAGCTGCCATTGCCGATCGGGGCTCAGTGTGAAAATGAACTGAGGCCCCTGACCGGCTCTAGTGATCGCTACACCGCGGCCTCATCACGGCCGGGTTTCATGATTGCGCCACAGGAAGTCCAGGCACTTTCGCTCCTCAGATCAGAATCTCCCTGTATACCCATTCTCTGGATTAGCTTAGGCGAGGCCTGGTGACTGCAGGACAACTAGAGAGGCAAAGCCTGGACCCGGGCCTGTCCCCGGGAAAGGAGAGACGCTAAAGGAGCAGCCGCAGGCCCAAAGTTAGCGCAGCGCGGCCATGCGTTCTGTGCCATCTGTCAGAAAGTCTCTGGTCTGGTGACAGATGTGCGTTCTGTGCCACGCTCTGTCAGAAAGTCTCTGGTCTGGTGACAGATAAGCAGGGTAGCTCAGTGGCTGTTTCCTGCTCGCGCTCTGTATCCTTCCTTTAGGCAGGATTGCCTGCTCCATGTGGTTACTCAGGGATCCAGTGAGATGGAGACACTGCCATCCTGTAACTGCTCTGCCTAGAAGCGCTCTCCACCTGGCAGGGGTGCAGAAACTGTTTACTGTCTTGGCGTCACTCGTTGGCCAAAAGCAGTCACACTGCCCCACCTCACTGTGGGGGTGCTAAGGAGTGTACATGGGCAGACGGGGTGTCTGGTGGTGGCACCCCTGCCTCCAGTAGAGCACCGGCAGGGTTGAGGTCCACCATAGATCCTGGGACTGGATAGGACCCTGAGTATGGGGGAGGTCTGTATGAAGGGAAGAGTGGGTCACAGGGGGAACCCAGAAGGGTGTCACAAGACAGATCACCTAGAGCTGATTCTGACTCAGCTTTCAGTAGCTGGGTGAGGGCTCAGAGTTATGCCTGAGATTCAAGCTGAGGCAGCCAGCCAGTAATCAGGACTCGCCTCCGACACAAAGCAGCTCCCTGCAGCAGCCTTTAGGGAGGGACGAAGGGGGAAACGTGAGCACCCAATCATCGGGAACGGGTCTGGGAACTGCGGTCCTACCTCCTCCCTGGGGGTAAGGATAGTTGTACAGAGCTGTGCTCCAGAGCCCGGGTGCAAATGCTGGCTCTGCCACTTGTTGGCATGGCCTCAGACAAGCTATGTTAACCCCTGGGGCCTCAGCCACCTCATCTTTGACATGGGGCTATATTAACATATCAGGAAGGGGAAGTAGGGAAACTCAGAAGTAGCCAGAGCAGACGTCTAGGTGAGAGATGATAAGGCTTTTTCCAAAGGCCTGTCCTAACTTGCCATTGGCATCAGCTACCTTCTTCCGGGCTCTGTATGATTAGGGTAGCCTTCTGCCCTAGGGTGCTAGACCACGTGCTTGTGGGTCTGCTCTGTGCTCAGTACCTGCTAAAGGGAGGGGCCAGTTTGGGGCACAACAGATGGCCATTTGTTTAGCAAGCACTCAACAGAGTCCTCACCTTATGCCAGGCCCTTTGCTTGGTGCATGGGATAGTGTATTAGCTAGTCACTGCTGTATAACAAACCACCTCAAAACTTAGTTGTTTAAAACAACAAAAATTCTATTTGTTCACAGTTCTGTGGATCAGTGGTTAGACTGAGCTTCGTGGGGTGCTTGTTTCCCAGGCTTATTCTTGAGGCTGGATTGACTTATCTCCAGCTAGATTGACTGGGGCTAGGTGGCCCCAGATGACTTCAGTCTCCTCTCTGGGCATTGGTGCCAGCTGTTCCCAGGTCTCTCATCCTCAAGGAGGCCAGCGAGGCTTCTTCACCTGGTGGTCTGGGACAGGGAAAAGGACAAGCACCAATGTCAAGTGCTTTCCAAGCCTCTGCCTCTATCACTTTTTCTAAAGTGCCAGTAACCAAAGCATGTCACAGCCAATCCCAGCATCAAGGTGGAGAAATAGACCTTCTCTCTCTTATTGGGAGAACTACAGAGTCACATTGCAAAGGGATGCACACACAGAGATGGGCGGGCACATGGCAGCCATTGCTGTGAACAGTCTTCCCCAGATCCAGAGGTGAGTGGAACAGAGCTGCATCCTCGTGGGGACACACAGCCTCCTGAGGCCTGCACGCGGTCAGCACGGTGATAGTGCAGGTGACAAGTACTGGGTAGGAGGCAGCCAGGAGGCAGCCAGTCCTTTTCTGGACATCCTGTATCAGGAGAGCCAGGTGTAGGCTAGGCCTTAGATTTTAAGCATTCTATAATGCCAGCATTGAATGGGCTTTACCTGACCTACCATGAAAGGATCCTGGCCTAGTCCCAGCTCAGCCACAGATCAGCTGAGAGGGAGGAATTCGAGAAGGCGCCCCATGTCTTCATTTACTCATCCATCCATACACTCCGAGGTTTCTGAGCACCACTGGGTACCAGGCACCGGGCTTGACTCTAGGATGCCATGGTTAGAAGACAATCTTAGTGCCAGATGCTCACGAAACCTACGTGACTGCACCTGACCGGGCAAAGGCAAGGGAAGGACAGCACAGGCTGAGGGGCTGAGAGAACCCCAGTGTGTAAATGCAGCAGGTCACGGGCATAGCCAGCCTTCAGGGCGTGCCAGGGCCTGCTGGAGTAGACTCGGTCTTGAGCTGATGATGCTAGCAGAATGAATACTCTGCACTTTGGGGGGACTGCAGACGAGTGGAGAAGGTGTACCCCACAACCTGCATCTCTCCTTTTTGGGTGTAACGGTTTGGACCAGCAATGAGGTCTAGTAGTTGTTGGCCTTCCTACAGATAGCTTCCCGGATGCCCGTTACTTAGCTCTCTGCTGGCTTTAGTGAGTGTGAACATACTTAGTACTCTCCTTAGGATTCCAAGTGGGTTGAAGAGAAGCAGCTACTCATCAGAACCAACCAGGACTTGCTGGAAAAGGTAAGTGACCCCCTGCTTCAGAGAATCAGGAAGCCCAAGGTCCCCAAGGACCTCTGAGGTCTGCTCAGACCACGTGAGTCTTGCCCAGGTCATTTTGGGCACTGCAGGGAGGAGAGCCGCAGGGCCCGGGCAGCTCTCATGAGGGGAGACATCTTCCTCACTTTGAATCAAAGCCCAGTTCCTGGTTCTGTCCTTTAGGATGGGCCCGCAGAGCCGGTTCAGACCATCCTCCTGGGCATCCCGCAGACATGGGGAGAGCTCCCCCGTCCTCCCAGCATGTACTGCTGCCATTGCTATGGGGGTCCAGAGCCCCTCAGGGATCAGGAATGGTTCCAAGGACTTATTCAAACTCTCTCATCTACGAACATCATCTTATAAGCTGGGAGATGGTGTTCCTCTTACCCTGCTTGGACAGAAGCTGAGCACGGGGTACTGAGTAGCTTCCCGGCATCTCCTAGCTGAGGCGTGGGCCCAGTCTTGCTTCCCTGACTGATACGTGCTTTGGGATAACTGCTACCACGAAGGCTTCTTATTGAACCTTTGTAGGAAAGTAAGAAACCCTTCCTTCCCTGCTGTGCTTTGCTGGGACGCTGTCAGGTGGACTGATCCTGGGGCAGTGTGGGTGAAAAAGACACCGACGGGCTTTGGGAGCAGAAGCACCACCCAGCTGCACTCTCGCTCCTTCCGTTCTCCCTCAGGGGAGGGACTTCCTAGCTTGGTGCCTCTGTTTTCCCACCGTTCACTTACTCGGATACTATGAAAGGGGCCACTGCTCCACCAGGCTAGGCTTGGGGTGACGGGGTGGACTCGGCCCAGCCTCGTCGGCAGAAAGGGCCCGCCGTGCCTCCC